AGAAAACCTTCACATATTTCCCCTTTAGGCTTATTAGGGTTCGGCCATTTAGAGGGTGCATGCCTAGGGATAATTTTTGACAACATGTTCATGGGTCTAATACTCATCAAGTTCGGCCATTTAGTGTTAATGCCATTTAGGTGGTGATTCTTCAAGTAATGCTTTCCTACGTGTTGTTTAGAACATCTACTTCAACACTTTTCATATTACCTTAAAGAACATATTCAATATCTAGTCGGGTACATATAGATTCGGTCATTTAGGGTTAGGTTGCTTAGTAAATATTGTGAATATTTAGAGGGTGCATGCATACCTTTGAGGTTCGGCCATTTAGGGATGATATACTTAAGAGGTGATTTTAAAGATGAAAGATGCATGCATGACTTTATTAGTCCAAGATCTAGTCATCTAAACTAGTTAGAGTTCATTCTACTCACTTGAAGGGATAAAAGGGTTCATGAAATCTTACCTCAAAGATGATGTCTAAAATATAACTCCAACTTGATCTTCAAGTAGTCCTCTAGGATTGAGAGTTGCTTCTAACCTCTTCTTAATCTTTCTTTACGTAAGTCTAAGAAGAGAGGAGAGGTGTTGGTTCACTTGTTTCTTGTTTATGAGTGGGTGGCTAGAAGTGAGGGAGTGTGTCCTTGCTTTGGTTCTTTAGGTAGTGTACGGCTAGGAAGGGGAGAGGCCTTTGTTTGTACACCTTTTTATTCAGGTCTCCCTAATCATCATGCCTAGGATAGGATAGGCTAGGTCTTGGTTGAGTGTGGGGTAAGCAAGTCTCCTCACATTGTTCAAGGTTGTCATAAGCATGGGGAAGGGGTAATGATAGTGTGTAGAGTGTAGGACACTCAAGGTGTCATACGCATGGGGGACTCTTGCATTCCTACCTAGAAAACAAAACTTCATCATTATTCACTTAGGAAGTGGTGCGCGTGAATCGAAGGGGTTCTATGTGTGTAGCGCCTAAGTGGAAGGAAGATAAGGCTCACATTAATTGCTTGAAGAGTGGTGTGCATGGGGAGAAGAACCTTTGTATGACATGCCTTGGTTAGGGAAACGAGGTGCATCCTTAATTACTTTGGGGAATGAGGTGCATGGGAAGGAGGAAGGTCGTTGCGTGTACCAATGTTAATTGCTTTAATCATCATTGAAGAAATGTTGGTTAATGTGTAGGGCCTTTTGTCTTTTAGCTTTCCATAATTGAATTCTAGGATAGAGTGTCTTTGGGACTTCCCAATGCATGGGGTTTGGGAATCACCTTGAGTATGTCACACTCATCATAAGGTGTGTAAGAACAAGTCTTCCCTTTTCATGCTAATTATTGCGCCTAGGGAGATGGAGAAAAGGTGGCTTCACCTTTTTAATCATGCATTGGGGAAGACTTGTGCGCCTAGGGAAGAGGGAAAGTGAGCCTACTTTTATGAAGGGAATCTTGGTTTATGTTCCCTTGATGTGTTACCTTGGGAGATGGAAAGACTTGTGTCATGCATGGCTTGAGTGTGTAAGAAGGAAGCTTCCTTTTCCTTGTCATGAGTGCGCCTAAGGTGGGGAAAGCAATCTCATCCCCTTTTTCTCTTTGCTAGGTCGAAGTGGACATGTGAGGAGGGCGAAATCTTCATTCAAATTGTCCAATCACGTGTTGCCACCTCACCTAGGGTTTATTCTTGAATTGGGTTGGGCTTGGTGAGTGTCTGGGCCCATTAAGTTAATAAGTGTTGGACCATTAGCAATTGGGTCAAGGCTAAGTGGTGTGGGCTTGGATCTTTGTCTAGATACTAATTGGGCCATTTCTTATAAAATGGCCTTGCATTGCTTTGGGCTTGAATCCTTTAACTTAGTCATATTCTTAGTAGGTTGGGCTTTAACTTTATTTGGGCTTTAACCCACATTGGCTAAGTTATTAATTATCTTATTTAAAGTGGGTTCTAGCTTAGGACTAATGTTGCTTATTCAAAGCTACTCGTTCACTGAATATGGACTTGATCCCCTTTCATTTCATTTCATTAGGCTAATTTTGAGTACAAGATTTTTGGGTTATTACACATACCATATACCATTCACCTGCATTTGTTGAGGTGAATCAGAAGAAGAAAGAGATGGACATTCATTAGGAGCATGACTGTCCGTACAGTAGTCACAGAAAAAAGCAACAGACTGAGCTTGAACTCCCGCGATATGCATCTTGTCAAGCCTGGAAGTCAAACTAGCCATTTGTTGAGCTAGCAATTTATTTTCAGCCAGAACTGACTCATTACCTTCTAGATGAAGGCTACCTTTCTTAGACTTTGAAGATACCCCTTGATTTTCATTCCTGGCCATCCTCTCTATCAGCTCCAGAGTTTCATTTGCCCTCATGGTTTTAATAGTACCACCAGCTGCACCATTCAAAACCATTCTATCTTCAGGTGTGATGCCATTGAAAAATATTCTGACTTGATTACCAGCAGTCAAATTATAATGAGGGCACCTCCTCATCAAGTCCTTGAACCTGTTCCAGGCTGCACACAATGTTTCACCCTCAGTTTGAGTGAAGTTGGTGATATCATTCACCATTTGATAGTATCTCTCCATGGAAAAGAACTCTGCAAAGAACTTTTTAGACAAATCCTCCCATGTAGCAATGCTCCGTGCAGGCTGCCTCTCCAGCCAGCTAAGTGCTTCTCCCTTTACAGCAAAAGGGAATAATCTCAATCGGATAGCATCATCAGACACCCGAGGGTGCTTGGTTGAGTCATATATCATTAAGAACCGGTCTATGAACCTGTGAGGATCCTCATGCTCATCTCCTCCAAATTGAACTCTCTCCACCAACTGAATTATGGAAGACTTCAACTCCCAATTATTGTCAGCAATATTCGGTTGGACAATACTTGAATTAGGCCTGTTGAAGGATGGAGTGAGGATGGTATCCATAAGTGGATTTTCAGCTTCATTATTCGCTGCCATGGTTGGGATTTCAGGTGCTTCTTCAGATTGAGCACTTGGCACATTTGATTTCTTCTGAGCAAGTCTCTTGTTTCTCCTTTCAAACCTTGTAATTTCAGGATCAAATAACAATTCTGTAGGATCAACCTTGCTTCGCATAAAACTTCAAGAGAAGATTAGTAGCAATGTTCAAAACAATTTAAAACAAGAACAGAAGAAAATAAAATAAAATAATCACAAAAAGAAAGAAAAATCTTGAAATTCAAGATTATAAGATATAAGAAATCACAATCCCCGGCAACGGCGCCAGAAACTTGATACAGTCCGGCAAGTGTACCGATCGTTCAAGTAATAAAGTGATAAGTAAGTTATCGTCTCCACAGGGATTGTGAGCGAATATCTTATAAACGTCCTTTCAAGATATAAAACCCAAGTGATTTGAAGAACAATAGAAATTAAAGACAAAGACGTATTTTTGGATTTTAAAAATAAGAGAATGATGCAAAATGATTTGGATAAAAATATGAGAGATATTGCAGGTAAGTACACTCGCCCTATGATCCCCTCTTTTCACTACGGATTGATTCACATTGCTCAAATAAAATAAACAATCAAACAATTTATCATCCAAACAATTATTAGCTAAACCCCAATTCCTTGCAAATTTAGCCCTTTAATCACAATTAAAACCCCAATTCCTTGCAATGTTTCAATTGAGATCAAGCATTACACAGATAAATTAAACGTTTGTAATCAAGAATGCGTCTATTCCTAGCACGCATGTTAATTATTATCCTACCCCCTTTCTGGACCAAAATCCCAATATTCCTATCTAGGGTTCTAACCCTCAGATTATCATTCACTACTAAACTGATCAGATTTAATATAAACGATAAGCAATACGCACAGAGTAGGCATAAATCAATTAAATTAAAGAGCGAAAAGTAAACCAATCCATAACTAAACAAAAGGTTCACATAGGGTTTGTGACCTTACCCACAATGAAGGAAAATTAGCCAAACATAATCATGGCTAAAACTAATCCAATATTCAAAAGCATAAAATTACAGAGAAAAGAGAAGAAGAAGAACTGTAGAAGAATCCTCCTGAGCTCTGCCGTCGGTCTCCTTCTAAAGAAATAGGTCGGAATCCCCCTAATTCTGTCAAAAGGATCCTATTTATAGGACTCTTTTCCTGCTTCCAAAAATACCCTCATAGCATCACGGTACAATTTCCCGCAACCCAGCGCCAGCTGGCGCCGGTGTGGCGCTACTTCGCGCGGAGTTGCTGCCTCGAATACCAAAAGTCGAACCTGATTGCGTGGACCGGCGCCAACTAGCGCCACCCTTTGTATTGCTGGGCGCCAATTGGCGCCATTTACTTGCTTCTGGGCGCCTAGTGGCGCCATAATGTAGGTGTTTAATATGTGTGGCGCTAGTTTGCGCCAACTAGCGCCAATTCTCTGGTATTTGGCCTGCGCAGCACCCGGTGAAATTTCCTATGTGTGGAGTCGCGTCAACAGGCTTTCTGTAATTTGTAATTTTCACTCCTCTTTTTCCTGTAAAAACACAACCAAAAGGTAAATATTATTGATATAGAAAGAATCAATATAAATAGCAAATATGCATTTAAATTGCTCTCTTATGACCCAATTCTTATCAATTTTAACATGGAAAAACCACACTTGCCAGAGGCACGTCAGCTGTCAACAGCAAGAGTAGCCTCCCGGGTTCCCACAATCTGACCGATCATTACCTGTGCACAGTCAATGATGTCTTGGCGATTAATTTGTTGTGGTACCAACACGTTTAAATCAGGATTAGGGAAACTAGAGTTCAGATCCCTCTCGGATAGCTTCAGGATCTGCACTAACGAAACAGCCGCAGGCGTTGAAATTCCTTCGACAGTCGCCATGACAGGTACCCCCGCCCTGTCCGGAGTATCGACCACCATCATGTCATCACCGCCAGGGGCGTTCGAGAAACTCTCCATGGCAAATAAGAGACTACCACCTGATTGACTAGACTCAGTCGGCTCCACCCTAACCGTTTTAGCTCCTTTAGGCGAGCTTAAATCCTCGCTAGCAACCCTCTTCCTTCCAGAAGCCGTTGGTTTAGGAGGAATAACTTCAGGTGCAGAAGGGTTGACCGCCAAACTCTGGGCATTCTCTGCACATCCTTAATAACCGGGCTGCCAGTCCTCCTAGCAAGCTCCTCGGCAGGAATGTCCGCTGCAGACCGGACCTTCCTTTTAACAATGTTCACCACTTTCCTTTTTCCCTTGTCGACTCCCTTACTTGGGGCGACGGGAGCGACAACAGGAGCGACAACAAGTGAATTATGTAACATTTTTGCACTATTTCTTGTGCGCACAATTATTATAGTTTGCCCCAGATTCTCTCCTATTTCGACAAGTGATTTATGTAACATTTTTGCACTATTTCTTGTGCGCACAAATATTATAGTTTGCCCCAGATTCTCTCCTATTTCGAGTATGTAATCTTTTTTCATTTCAATCTTAGAGAGTTCATCAGGACAATGAACTTTATATTGCTTTACGGCATCTAAAGATAGTTCCTTCACAAAAAGTGTATTATAATCCTGCTTAACTGTTCTCGAAACAAAAATCTGGACAATGTCATTGAATGTAGCAGAAAACAGAAGAACATAGACATACACAAGTCAATCAAAATCTTCTTAGATAAGAAAAGAAACTAAAAAAACAACTACATCACATACAAGCACACACAACATTTGAATCACATACAAAGCAACTAATCTTGGTAAAATGTTCATTTAAGTACAGACGCAATGGTTATGGTGCACAAAAATAACAAGGAACAGTTATAATTCCCTTCTACATAGATTCAAATTAAATTATAGCAAACCATTAGCATCAATCAAATTAACATTCAATCTTCATATCTATGCAATATTATTTGATTGAGCATGATGTACTACGTAAAAAATTCCTCATACTTTTTTCTGTTCTTATAAGATGAATGAATCACTTTACTCTTTTAAATATACTTCACAAGTTGCACAAGGGCTCAGGGAGAGCATGACCTTCCATGAATTGGCAGGTGTTCTACCCGAACAGGTTGAAGGATGGGTGACGGTAATTTAAACAACATGTATACATGGATGTGTTGTCCCTATGGATTGATAAATTCTTGCATAGATTTGATCTACACAAGTCATATAAATAAAACCAAACATAAACTAATACATTATCATTTTAAAAGTAGTAGATTGACACATATATCATGTAGTTATTTAATGTAAAATGACGATGTGTCAGTGTGTACTTAGCTTAGGCTATGCAACTTGTAGACTAAGTCTATGCCAGAATTTCATGGATGGATGAAAATGCCATGCACACAAGCACACTACGCAAGAAAGAGTTCAACAAACCTGACAGTTAGAATTGAATTTTTCTATTCCTTTCATTATCCTCAGGGAATCATCTTTAAATCCATCCTGCAAAGTTTACAGTAATTAAGCAAGTTAGGGCACAACATATTTAGAAATTGAACTGCGAATACCTCTGCTTTAAAAAACAAAAGAAAATCACAATACTAATTCAGTAAACCATAACAATTCCCTGAACCTAAAACTAGGTCCTAGGATCTCTAGAATACTTACTAGAGAGTAATTACTAACTAGAAAAAGATATATATTATCAAGAGTTAAAAACAAGCGGTCTACTAGTGCATTCTTCCTCTTTATCCATCATTAAAGGAGGAGAGTCACAACTTACCATTTAATTGTAACTTATTCTATTAAAAAACAAGGGTGTTGCCAACTCCCCAAAAGATTGTAACAATAATAAGCTCAGGCAGAATGATAAGGCTATGTGCTTGCCTAGTCCAAGGACAATGAAACCTCAAATTCTAAATAAACAACATTTCATTATCACGATAGAATTACCTCAGCAAGCATTTGATCAGCCTCATCAAAAACAAGAATCTTCAAACTTGTCACCCCAAGTTTCTTAAAAGTCATCCACTTATTAATTGTGCCAGGGGTCCCAATAACCACTTGAGCCATAATCGGTGCCCGTTTCGCTATCGGCAAAACATCCCTACTGTCTGCTGGTATAGCACATTCTGAGCTAATCCCCGTGTACTTTCCCATCTTTCGGAGAACTTCAGTATTCTGCCACACAACACAATAATCATCAAGCTACAACTAACACAGTCACAAATCACAATGTTCGATAACAGTGATTAACAAACGAATAAAAAAAAAGGAAAGTTCACCAATGCCGGTTTGTTTTAGAATCATCTATGGCCCAGTGTTTTTTATCACATATGTCCCATTGATTTGTAAAAAATAAAAAAATCACGAGGAAAAGTTCGATAATAGTGATTAACAAACGAATAAAAAAAAAACAAGCAGGAAAGTTCACCGAAGCTGGTTTGCTTTAGAATCACCTATGACATATGTTCCATGGTTTGTAAAAGTAAAAAATCACAGGAGCAGATAAAAAAACATATACTTTTGCAAACCACATGAGTGATAAAAAATAATCAAAGGCATAGGTGCTTTTGCAGTAAATGGTTTGTTTTAGAATTACCTATGCCTTGTGATTTTTTTTTATCACATATACCCATGTGGTTTGTGAAAAAAAAAATACAGCTGCATGTGTGATAAAAAACATAACTTTTTGCAAATAGACATATGTGATAAAAAAACAACGGGATATAGGTGATTCTAGTAAACCACGCAAGGCATTGCTGAGCTTTTCCCCAAAAAAAGAAGAAAAAAGAAAAACTTCTAGGGCTCACGATCAGATATCCCTTTGGAGGGATATAGCTTTTCTTCCGGAAGTATGGGGCCACCACATATCGTATCCAGCTATTGCATTCTTAGTTATGGGTTATTTAATCCATGATAGAATAAGATTATATGTCGGTTTAAAAAAGCAATGTCTTAGAACCTTACCTGAATAGCCAACTCCCTGGTTGGGCAAATGCAGAAAGCTTGAGGAGCCTGCAACTTTGGATCAACTCGACTAAGCATACCAAGAAGGAAACACGTGGTTTTTCCGGAACCGTTATGCGCCTGTGCGATCAAATCCCTATTCGGAGGATTCAAGATCATAGGCAAGGTTACGACTTGGATCTTACAAGGTTTCTGGAACTTCATCTCCACGTAGAGTCCCTTCAAAAGCTCCGGTGAGAGATTCAATTCTTCGAAGGTGGTAGCTGACGTGTACGGAGTGTCGCCGGACGAAACCTGCACCGAAATTCAAAACCATAAACCGTCAATTTCTCGCCGAGAAAGAGAGAAAAGAGAAATCGGGAATGGGGATCGAACCAACCGCTTGGATGTTGTAGTCTTCAGGCTCGTCCAAGAACTTGGGAGAAGGCTTCTTGTTCTCGTCGATCGTTAATCCGTCGACGTTGAGCGACGAGGTTGCTGTCTCGAAGCTCGGCGTTGCGTTGGTTTCTTCATTTGCTTCGTCGGCCCAGCTCTTAGGCGAGGAAGCCGGCGCCGGCGCTGGCGGATGAGCATCGCTGGCGGAGGTGGTTTCGGCGGTGGATGGTTCTGCCATAGCAGTAGACGAGACTGAGTGAAGAGTATTCAAAAACAAAATTCTCAGTTTCAGAGGGAAGGAGAGGGTAATGGATTGAGCCTTGGCGGTGTGTGAAGAGTAATTAAATAAAATAGACATATACTACTAATATATATAAAGAGAGAGGGTGCTAATTTGGAAAGATTTTCTATGGATTGAAATTTTAAAGAATTTCGTAATTCCAACGCAAAAAAAATCTACTAATATTTAATTATGATTTTGAAGGATTGAAAAAAATCACTTAATATTTGATTAAGAATTTAAAAGATTATTTTAGAGTGTAGTCAAATCCGGTGGTATTCAACAAGTATTTTAAATAAAGAAAAAAAATCTTGTGATATCAAAATATTTGACGAGTTTAGTTAATTTTCTATTAATGTAAATTTTATTAGATTTTTTAGTAAGAAATACAGATATGATGTCTTTTTTACAATCTTATACTAACCTCTATGTTTTCTTAAGATTTCTAATTGCAAAGTTTTTTTCTTCTTTTGGCGGGTCTACCCGCCCGAAACCGGGTTTCGCTAGGAGAGCTTCAACAAAGCTAAAAAAATAAATTTTTAAGCGATTTTCATCACAAAACAACACAGAAATAACAATCCAACAAAAGTCTAACCTAATCCATCTCAAAACATTAGATTTTTTAGAGCTTTTGAAAATTTAAAAAATGATTTTTCATGTTATAGGTCGCGATTTTTCTTTTTGGAGGTTACAAGGAATTGAACACAACACCTTACACTACACACACTCCTAACACACACACCCCACAAACTCGTCTACACACACTCCTAAGAAAAATCGCGAAAACTTGGGGTTAATTAGCTAAAAAGCATGGAGTTTGAATTATTGACTTATGTGAATGATTCTTGCTTGTTTTGATCTAACGGTTAAAAAAGTAGTTGTAAGAGAAAATAGATTATAAATACAACCTCTCACTTACTAAAATATATTATTCCCTACTTAATACTTTTAAAATTTTATTCAAATTAATCATGCATATTGTTGAACAATGGAATCTGTGTATTTCTTCTTTTGTAGAGAGGTAATTGTATACACTAATTTTGGGCTTCAATCAAGCCACAAATCACTCTAAAAAATAATATTAAAATCAGAGAATTAATATCTCCTATCAATCAATTCTATTTACAATTAATTCATATAATTGCTAACACAATCAAAATCAAATTAATTACTCGGAGAATTGATGTCTCCTATCAATCAATTCTATTTACAATTAATTTCTATAATTGCTAACAAAATCAAAATCAAATTAATTACGGATTGTATACAGCTCACACATACTTTTTATAATTTGAAATATTTTTATTCAAATTCTTTTTAACTTATATTTTATTATATTTTTCTCAATTAAAAAATATCTATTCAATAAACAGCAATTCAGAATTCTATGAATTCTAGACTTTTGTTAGGTACAAATGTCTAATATATCATTTGTCTTATAAGTAATGCACTACGTAAATATCTTGGGCAGGGCTAATTTTGAATAATTATTATAGGAAATTTCTTTGTTAAAAAAAACCCAGGAAAGTTGTTTTGTATTTTTAGCAACATATTCTTTTGATATTAACGTTAATTTTACAGAATATTTATAAAAATATCTTAACTAAATACCAAAATAAAAAAATATTGATTATTTATTTACACAAATAATAGGTGTTTTTTTTTTTTTTTTTTTTTACATTTTGATATTAACGTTTAACTCTTTTGTTTCTGATTATCTTATAACTTGGAAAAAAACACTCATATCTTGTATCAAATTATATTTTATATCATTTCACATTTATTTTAAAGTTTTTTCATATAAATCATTATCTTAAAAAATATTTTAAAAAACAAATCTTTGATATTTCTACTGCGCTCTTGTTCAACAAGTTGAACGCCAACATATTCTTTGTGCTAAAATTTTCAAATTTCAGTGTATGTAGGTTACAAAAATTTTCCCACTCTATAATGCGGATGAATCTCACCCCTTACTTCATTACAATCTATATCATTGCTTTCTTCTTCTTCTTCACCTGACACACCTTCCGTGGACGAGGGCACTGCAATCTCCATCGACCGCTCTGGCCTTTACAACCCACCTGGTACTTTCTTCAAATTTCCTTTCTTTCTTCGCTTCTTTTCCTCATTCTCTTTTTTGTTCCTTCTTACAGACCATTCTCACCTCCCAAATTCCGATTCTGAGCTCGTCAAGCACCTCAAAGGGATCATCAAGGTTCTTTCTCCCCATTTTTCTTCCTTTACTTGTTTGGATTGGATTTTAGTCCGTCAAAATGTGTAACCTTTATATTCTATAACCAATATTCCCTAATTTAATTTTTACATGATAAAAATTTGTTTTTTTCCCCCCTTGTGCTATTAAACCTCACTATCTTACTTTGGGTCTCACAAATTTTAATTTTTGCTTGCGATTTGTTACTTATTATTGTTGAATTCTCAGTTTCGTGGAGGCCCTATATCAGTAGGTGAGTACATGTCGGAAGTTTTGACAAATCCTAAAGCTGGGTACTACATCAATCGAGATGTTTTTGGAGCACAAGGTGATTTTGTCACCTCTCCTGAAGTAAGCCAGATGTATGGTGAGGTGAGGTGAATTATACACTAAACTTTCAGTAACCTTATGTCTATTGGGGGCATCAACTAGAATTGGACTATGTTTGCAATCATTCATGAAGCTTGTCAATGACAGAACAGAAGGATTCTAATGTCTTGTTTAAACTGATTTTTTAAAGTTTTTATAGGGTGCTTCAAAATTTAAGAACTTCATTGAGTCTTTGCATGTACACCTGGTGGAGTGTAGTCCAGTACTACAGAAGCTTCAGCACCAGAAATTGAAATGCATTGATGAAGAGAACACAGCTCAAGATGCTGATAAAATAACTATAAGCTCTTTTGTTGGCACTCTTGTGTCATGGCATGCTACACTGGAGCAGGTTCCTTCAGGATGTATGTATCCCTTTCCCGATAAAAATAAGCTTTTGGACATACATGGAGTGTAACTTGTTATAGGAAAATCTAAGTTAGTTTCTCTGTTATGCGTCAACATAAAATATCTTATTGTGCTATTTTCGTATGAGCTCTGACCAAATTCTTCTTTTGTTGTGCTGTAGTGCCAACAATTATCATTGCGCATGAGTTCTTTGATGCCCTACCGATCCATCAATTTCAGGTGATTGAATGCTTGCGCTATTAAGATGAATTGAAACTAAGGATGAATCCCACTCTATACTGTAGTGCCAACTATAAAAGTAGTATCAATGATAGTTTTGTTATCTAGTTTACATATTCCATGTTATGAATAACCAAACACCCTTAATTGAAACTAGCTTTGTATTTAGGTCTGAGGACAAGAAACCAATGGAGTCAGAGGCCAATAGTGTTGATAGAGCTATTGCAAATCTCATGTTCAACAACATGGAGATTAACATGGAAAAAACTCAAAAGTCAAGTCCTTTGATACCCAGTTCACTACATTGCATAGAGAAGAACTTCTTGAGAAAGAGATGGAAAGAGCAGCCACTGTTAAGATACCAGTGGTGTTTGGGAATGAAGATGGCAGTGGTTCTTTAGCAAGTGTTTCACCATTGTGACTCCTCAAGCAGTTCATTTGCAGTTAATATTTGATCATGCTTCTTTCTGTAGAATTTGCCAGCCAAAAAGATTTATATGAAAACTGAGTAGGACCAATGAGAATCTGTGAAGGGGTGGGAATCCAATACTGACCCTTGTTCAATTTATCCAAAGGTTGTTCAAAAATCATATTCACTTCCTCTTTTTCAGCCATTTCTATTGAAGTTGGGATCATCCTCAACCCCAGATCAGAAGTAGTACTACCCATTCTAGGAAGCCCTATGTGTAGGGCAACAGTCACAGTTTCATCATCATCTTCAGGACCAGTCAAAAGACTCTCATGTTTGTCTTCTATTGCACTATTACTGTTTGAGTGTTCATTTCCATGCTGATTTGTGATGAGGCTTAACTTGTTAATGAGAGGAAGAGCCTCTCTTGGAGGAGGAGGAGGAGGTGGTGGAGGAACTGCAGAGGAAGATGAGGGTTCGGATTGAATTCCAAACCAGTTGTTTGAGTAAGCAAAAGGGTATGATGAACACAATTTGGATTGAGAAGAAGAAGAGTAGTGAAGGTGGAGGAGCATGAACTTGAACCATCCATCGAATAAATTGGTGTGAGGATCAGTCATAGTGAATGTTCAATGTAGGAAGGTTATTTCTTGATGGTTTGATTCTTTGGTGATATATAATATATTGCGTGCATGTGTGTTTGTGTGTGTGTGTGTGAGAGAGAGAGAGAGGATACTATGTGGGGGAATGGAGAGCCATAAGCCCCGTAAGTAAGTTTCAAGGTAAAAGAGCAAAGCCAAAGTGTATGGAAAGTCAAGAAATTACCCCCTGCAAGCCAAAAAGAGAAATTAAAGGCGAAAGGGAAAGGCAAATGTAGAGTCAGAGGTTAGGCTTGCAGGTTGTCTCCCAGGAGATAGAGTTTGTTGCACCACCACACATGCATATAAACACAAAGAGAGATAAATCAAACATAATAGCTCAGTTGGCTCATGAGAGCTGAGTAGGTGAGGATAAAAGCATGTGTTTGATTTTCTATAGTATCACCTTTGCAAAGCGTTTAAAGCCTTACTCCTGAACCTACCTATATCGAACTAATCACAAAACTATGATTCAATTGAAATATTTACCGAAAGAGAAAGAAGAGAAGAGAGAGAACATTCATTTATTTTCAACTTGGGGCTTGTCTTTCACTCGTCAGAGATTCATTTTAGAAAAGAGTAAAATATAGAAGTAAAACCAATAAATTTTATATAAATAGTTAGGAGTTTTATTATAATAATTTAGAGAAAAATATTTATCATGGATACAATATTATATCATTTTAAATTAAATGACTATATTTTGATACATATTTAATAATTTTTATATTCTCTATAATGCGAGTTTGATGTATTGATAAAGTTATTCATTTGTGATTGAAATGTTAGGGTTTCAAATTTACAAAACAATCTTTTCTAAAAAATATAGCATGGATAAAATTGTGTAGAAAGTTTTTTAATTTCTTACTCCAATTAGTCCCCAATCCTGGGAAATTAAGTTTAATGGATATTTTTAGATATAATTGAGAATTGAACACACAACCTAATACAACATACTCAAAGCCCTCACCACTAGACCAAACTCAGTGACTTATAAGAGTGATTTTATTTTATTATTAATATATATATATATATATATATATATATATATATATATATATATAGACACACACGTCTCCCGTGCTAGTGAGTAACATTAGAAAATCGTAGTTCATTCTTTCAAACTTACCTACATCCGGCATTTGCTTGGATAGGCGTGATTAGTTATTACAACATTTTGCACAGATAATGAGAATGTTAATTCTACCATTCTCTCGTTCCTGCTTTTTGTTTATACAGTCAACAAAATATCAAATACATATTATCGGTTCTAGTGTCCGGGTTCGGTTTGATAATTTCAAAATCAGTTCTACTAATTCGTTTCTTAAATGCTTACAACTAATGCAGGCGTTGGTACTTCTTCTCATGCACATGATTAACCTAGTTTTGTAAATAATGCTTCTTTCATGACCGTTGGAGTTGCAGCTGTGTTTAACATGACTCAATGAGTTTTAACTCCAAAATATATGGTGTACGGTTGATATTAGAGCAGCACTTTGATAATCAAAAAAACTTTTATTTTATTTTTATTGAGATATATAAAACTATTAATATAGTCTCATCCAATAGCTTAAATTTTTGGGTTGAATTGATTCTTTTCATAATATCGGAATCTCGGTGTACCGGATTCGATTCTGACTCCCATTTTCTTTCTAGTGGAATTTCTTTCTTCGCACAGGTCTTGTGCATTATCCACACTTCACGCAAGTCCAGTGGAGCGTGTGTGAGGGGATGTATTGAGATATATAAAATCATTAATATAATCTCACCTAATAGCTTAAACTTTTAGGTTGAATTGGTTCTTTACAATTTTGGATAAATCACATGTACCTTTTACACGAGACAATCTCGTTCGAGTCAGAATATCCACACCCTGGCGGAGCTAATTTTCTCAAAGTGAATTTTTTGCATTCACGTGATCTTGAACCCAAAATTTTGCTTAAACGAAATAAAAAATCAAATATGTACCGGTTGAACCAACACCCTTTGGTTTAGAATAACTGTACTTTTATCATACTTCATGCAGATTTACTCTGTTATTGATACAAATCAAATCCTGTCCAGGAAAAATTTAGGAACAAGAAGGGAATTTACTATGCATGTTAGATTGTAAAATCTTAGTGTGGTACTGATAAAGAGATGTCCTACCCTGTGGAAAATGACATCTACGTTGTCGTTTCTTTCATATAATTCAAGTTTGCAGGTGATTGTGAGAGCCCCTCCCACATCATGTGACCTGCATTGCATTTGCCTTTTACACAAAGTCCCTTGGAGAAGTTTCCAGTGGCAACATGATTTCGACACGTGGAGCATTATGAAGCACAAGATTTTGAAGAGAAGGATAGTCGGCACGGGGTACTGTTAATCTTGAGGCGTGGAGAACAAAAATGTGAGCTTGAAAATGAAAGGCGAAGTTTGAAGGTAATGGTTGGGAGTAGAATGTAACAATCAAGCCATCACAGACAGTGATAGACAAAAGCTATGTTCTGCTCTATTGACTAGTAAGAGACCCAATTGATCAGTGGAGGAAAGATTTTGAGGTATTAACATTGGGTAACAAAGAGAGTTATTTTACAGATTTCTTGAGTTGAAGTTATAAGATAGAATAGTAAAAATCATTAAAAAGCTCTCACATAGTACCAGCTTAAGCTTTTGGGTTGAATTGATTCTTTATATAATACCAGAGCATCGTGTTCCGGAATCGATTCTCACTGCCCCCACTTTCTCTTGTGGAATTTTCTTAGCACAGGTAAGTGAGTTTGTGCATTGTCCACACTTCAAGTTCAATGGGCTTTCGTGTGAGGGGGCGTGTTAGAGAATAGTATAATCATTAAAAAGCTCTCACTCACCAGCTTAAACTTTTGAATTGAATTGGTTCTTTACAAAAGTCTTGAGAATAAAAAATAAAAAAAATTGTTTGCCATAACTGATAAAATAGTGAGAATTGGTGCCAGAACTGATATTGGTTATGGAAAAATGCGTATCGAAAAGGTGCTGCGAAAAATAAAATAAAAAATGATAAATATTAGAAAATTGAGTAGGTTCAGATTCCAAGGTTTGGGATTAAAATGCTAAGCGTAGCATTTAGCGCTAATACAGTGCGATTAAGTTTGAACCGGCTATAAATACAACTTTTGGCACTTAACCCTAGGCCATAATCTGATTTCTACGTGAGTCTTTGAGCTGTGGTCAGCCTCTTCCCTGTTCATGCCTTCCCCTCTTGAGAAAGCCACCAAGTTGTCACCTTTTATTTGATTTCTTCCTTCTTAATCTTGTAAACACTTAGTGGAGTGACTTGTAAGTGTGTGAGGCAGCCTTGCTTCTGTTGTTGAGCCTCTATTTGGTGAGGTTTGGGGCTGTTTTCATGAGGAGAGTTGAAGGAACCATTGTGGTTCAAGAAGCCATTTTTGGTGAGAAAAGACCAACCTTTGATCAACATTTTCGTGTACCTTGAGAGACAGAACCTTGGAGCTGACTTGAGAGCTCCAAGAGCATCATCCATCTCTGTTTGAGCTTGGGGTATGATCACCACCTTTGTTCTTGAGTTTCTTTAGTTAAAAATGGAACATTGATGCATGTAATGAACTAAAGTTAATAACTTGAGGTTGGGTAAGCTTAAACACACCTAGAAATGCATGTTTAGGCTTCTGTAATCGGTAAAAGTCGAACTTTTGGATTGATATCTCGCGAAATGCAGAATCTGAGTTCTGCCGCGAAATATCCGGATATTGGGTTAAAAATATCCGGATATTGATATCCGGATATGGATATCCGGATATCGATATCTGGATGGAGTTCGAAATATCCGGATATTGATATACAGATATTGCCAGTCAGATATCAAGATATTGATATCCGGATATGCCCCCGACGAATATCCAGATATTCTGGGTTTTCGAGAACAGTAACGGTACAGTTCATACAGAACTGTGTTATGGGTTTGTGGATCCTAGTTTGATGAAGTGGGACTTCTGTAATAATTAAACTAAGTCAGAATCAAGTGATTAAGGGCTTGTGGCTTTGTGAGAAGCCTTAAGACATGAAACGTAAAAGAGAAGCATTGTCTTTATGTATGTGCTTATGAACTATGGTTGTTGATATGATTGCTGGTCCAAAACAGATTGTGATTCTGCTGTGTGTGGATTTTGAGTTTGTGTGGACTCTTGGCATTGGATAGTTAGCTTGCAAGGTAAGCTTTCATGTCCTCGGTTTAGCCATTGTGTGGTTCCACCATACCCCATGGGGGAATGGTTTATATGCATGATGTGTTTACATGCTTTGGTATTTGAAATGTTGTTGAGCCTTATGTGCAATGGCTTTTAATATGTATGTGTTGTTCCACTTTGACGGTAAGCCTGAGTATGTGGCATCATACAAGACGGTGACTGTAAGAACCCGCACCGTTAATTAAGGTATTTAATTAATAAATTATGTGAAAATAGGAAATGATTCCATAATTGACCCTAATAATTATTAAGAGGCTTTAATAATTATGGTAAGTGATTAAGAATGTTGAAAGTTGCTTTTCGGAAGAAAAGTGCAGATACCAGTTCTGCTAGTCGGTATAAATGCGTACCGAAAAAGTATCCTGGAAAATTAAAGTAAGTTTCGATAAAATTTATTTTTTAAAGCTTCAGATAAAATAATGTTTAGTTTATTTAATTTTTTGTAAAACCGAAATTAATTGATCCTAATAGGTATAATAATTAAGCTCAATAGATATAATATTAATAAATATTAATAATATGCTAAACAATTTTTCATGCAGAAGTAAGGAAAACATTGAATGTTGAATTGTTTTACCACCTATCAAGTTCTAAATTCAAATTTAGAAAGTTTGAATTTTAAATATTAAATATTTTTTACCCAATAGGCATAATAATAGTATTATTTATAGGCTTAACGATTTTCCACACAGAAAGTAGTAGGAAACATTGATTGCTGAACTTTTTTTTATCACTTATCAAGTTCAAAATTCAAATTTGAAAAATTACTAAAAAAGAAAACAATGAAAATGGTTTCAAGTGTGAACAGAGAGTGGATATAGAAGGAAATAATGACACATCAGCAAAGTTTCAAAAGAATGATTTTATCACACTGACAAGATTGTAACACTACATCATGCTATATTATTCTTTTATCACGAAGACACTCTATATTAAGAAGAAATATAATATTTATATGAATATTGACATAATATATATATTTTTAATAAAAAATTGGTATTAAAAATAAACTATATTAATGCTATTTTATCTCTATAAGTCCTTACAATTTTTTTGGTAAAATATTATATAAATTTTTATGACATTATATGTTCCAAAAAAATCAATTATTAAGTATCTATAAAATTTAATGGTTGGATGTATAATTCTTCAAAAATCACAATCACCGGTAAATATTTTGTGTTAATTATGCTCTTACATCAAAAGAGTAAAAATTTAATTTCTTTCATATGCATTAAATTAAAATTTACATATTTATATTGATTACATTTTTCTACTTTTTTTAACCGAATAATATTTGTCATTTTCAATTTTGTTATTTAATTTTAAAATTTAAAATTTAAATTGTTTTGTATTAATTATACATACTTTTAAAAAATAATTTTGTTCTCTTTTAATTTATAATTTTTATATATATTTTAAATTGATTATACATATATATTTAAAAGGTTTATATTAAATATTTTCTTAAAAATACTTGTATGGAAAATTTTTATCTTTTTATATTATTCTTTTAAGTTAAGTTTTTATTTTATTTTCTTTTAAAGTATAAATATGTCACTTCTTAATTTTTTTCAATTAAATTCTAAATTTCAATTTATCAACTATATATATATTTTTATAATTTTAATTTTTTTTCGTTTAATCAATAATTTTATATTAAATTTAAATTTATGATATATATATATATATATATATATATATATTAAGATATAGATAAAGTTAATGAGTTGGATGTATAATTCTTCAAAAACAAAGACTGTAACTACTGATTACCAAAAAAAAAAAAGACCGTAATAACTGAAAAATATCTAATTTTATTTTTTTGAAATGACAAAATCCTACTAATTCATAATTCTGCCAATTTTATTTCGTGATATACTAATATGCTTTTTTTGTTTACTTGAGTGAATATTAGTAAAGTATACCCTGAGTGAATTTTTAAAATAAGCAATTTTTTTATATATATCCGTTACCAGAAAATCATTCTGTTTTATGTCCTTATTTTATGTAGAATTTTTGTGTTAATTATGCTCTTAAATCAAAAGAGTAAAATTTTAATTTCTTTCATATGCATTAAATTAAAATTTACATTTTTATAGTGATTAAATTTTTCTAGTTTTTTTTAACCGTATAATATTTGTCATTTTCAATTTTATTAAATTTTAAAATTTAAATTATTTTGAATTAATTATACTTTGAAATAATTTTGTTCTCTTTTAATTTATATTTTTTCAAGTTGATTATACATATATATTTAAAACGTTTATATTAAACATTTTCTTAAAAATACTTGTATGTAAATTTTTTATCTTTTTATATTCTTCTTTTAAGTTAAGTTTTATTTTATTTTTTTTTCAAGTATAAATATTTTATTTCTTAATTTTTTTCAATTAAATTTCAAATTTCAATTTATTAACTATATATATATTTTTATATTGTTAACTTTTTTTTTCGTTTAATCAATAATTTTATGTTAAATTTAAATATATATATATATATATATATATATATATATATTAAGATATAGATAGATTATTAAATTACCATATATAATATCCTTAATTTTAAATTTAATTTATATGGAAATTAAGCGTAATGAAAAGGCTATTGAAATTAATAAAAAAAATTATAGAAATAAAAGTGACAAATTAATGTTATATTGTTAATTAAAACAAGAAAAGAAGACAACAGTGTCCACCGCTTGTGCAGGCCCCCGTCAATTCCTTTGAGTTTCGGTCTTGCGACCGTACTCCCCAGGCGGAGTGTTTCACGCGTTAGCTGGGCCCCTGATCCACGTAGACCAAGGGCGAACACTCATCGTTTACGGCATGGACTACCAGGGTATCTAATCCCGTTCGCTCCCCATGCTTTCGCACTCCAGCGTCGGTAGGGATACAAAACTTTTTTTGCAAATTTTTGTTGGGTATAATAAATGCATATTTTGATTCTTTCCCTTTTGAATAAAGAAACATAAAAGATTCCTTTTTATAAACATTTAATTGTCAATAAAGAATCCTAATTGTTAGTCATTGTAACGGTAATAAAAAAAATCAGAATAATATTATGTTGAAAAACAAAACAAAACAAATCAAATCAAATCAAATTTCAATCTTATTTTTAAAAAATCCAGCTAATGAACGCATAAGTGAGGTGTAAATTGTATAAATTACCACTTCATCTCCCCTGAAGTAAACTTTCTTTCTCTTTCTGTCTACAAATCTCTCTCTCTCTCTCTGTACATCTCTTTGGCAAGAACAAGAATGGCTTCTTTCTTTCTCAATTAAGCGATCAGTCAATTATTCATGTGCTCATTGAATAATTGATGAAGGAAGCCATTTCTGCAGCAAGCAATTTGAACACCTTCTGACTAAATATGGAGTAAAGCACAAGATTGCTACAGCATACCACTCCCAGACCAGTGGGCAAGTTGAAGTGTCCAATAGAGAAATCAAAAGGATCTTGGAGAAGGTGGTAAATCCTTCGAGGAAGGACTGGTCATTCAGATTGGATGACTCATTATGGGCATATAGGACTGCCTATAAAACAACATTAGGTGCATCCCCATACAAAATTGTCGTTGAGTTAGAACATAAGGCATACTGGGATATATCAAAGCTGAATTTGGATGAACAAGCAGCTGGACAGAAAAGAATGCTACAGCTAAATGAACTGGAAGAATTCAGAATGAATGCATATGAAAATGCCAAACTTTACAAGGAAAATATGAAGAAATGGCATGATAACAAGATCCTTCCAAGGGTATTTGAGCAAGGTCAGCAAGTCCTTCTATTTAACTCAAGGCTCAAGCTCTTTCCAGGCAAGCTTAAATCAAGGTGGACAGGACCTTTTAAGGTTGCACATGTGTATCCCCATGGAGCTATTGAATTTACGAATGAAAAAGATGGGAGCACGTTTAAGGTTAATGGACAAAGGCTGAAGCACTATTGGGGAGATCAAAATGTCAAGGAGACAACTATTATCTCCTTGACTGAGCCGAGTTGAGTTCAAAGAGAAGAAGTCAGGCTGAAGACTATAACACAAGCGCTCTTGGGAGGCAGCCCAAAATTTAATTAGGGATTTTTTAATTTAAATGAATTTTAATTTCAGTATTTTAAATTATTGCAATTTCGTATTTTCAAGTATTAAGAATTAGGATAAATTAGTTTCATGTTCTTTTAATTTTTAATTTTATTTTTAAGATGTTTTGCAGGGAGAAAAATGATGTTGATGCCCATTAAAAATAAAAATCAGGAACCAGGCTACAGCACAAGGTTGTGGAAAAATCAGGCATACCCACATCATTTGGGTTAGAATAAAAGAATCGGGCCAAGCAAGCATTGGGCCTCATTCAGACGCGGCAATTAAAGTCAAGGAGATGTACAGCAAGCCCAACGGTAATTTAATCAGAAGCTGCCACATCATCCCTGATGCTGTAACAATTCAACGATTAAAATTCAAGGAAGAGATGAAACGACACAGCTGTCAGATCCTGATACAGCACCGTCCAAATTCATCCATCCATCAACAATGAACCGTTGTGACCCCCTGTGTCTTTTTCTACCCAATATAAAAGCCAGGTTCCATATTTTCTACCCCCATTATCGTGTGTTCAATTTTTTTTGAGTAAATTTTTTTTTTCTCTCTTCCAACTTCATCTCCAAGAACAGTCTTGCAAGAACTCAAGCCACAGCAAAGGCTTGAGTTTGGAGTCCCCCCAACCTCTTTTCTTTCTTTCACCCGAGGCAACCAAACTGAGTTTGGAGTGGAGCAATGGAGACCCCAAGCACCCGAAGTGGAAAAATTAGGGCAAGACCCAGTGGGAGCAGCTCTCAATCAGAACCGGTCCCCTCTTTCTCCACTGAGCGAGCAATGCAAAGGCATGAGATCATGCTCAAGCGGACACCATCACCAAACAAGGGCTTTGTCAAGGAATCTCTTGACTCTAATTCATACCCTTCCTATATTTCGGTCATCATCGAGGCTCGCCAGTGGAAGACTTTTTGTCTACATGAGTAAGATGGTGTACTCCCCATCGTCCGAGAGTTCTATGCCAACATGCCCCAAGGAAGACCTTCGAAGATGGAAGTGAGAGGGAGGGTTGTACCATTCAGTGCTGCAACTATCAGAAAGATTTACGATCTACCCAAAGTTGTAGACGAGTTTTATGACTGGAAGAACACATCCGAACAAGAAAAGTTACAAGAAGTGCTGGAAGAATGCTATAGGACAGGGACCGAGTGGACCGTGACACCCCAACAACATATGTCCTTTTCAAGAACCACACTCAAGCCTGAAGCTAGAGTGTGGTATCATTTTCTGAAAAATAGACTGATGCCCACGTCTCACACTGAGACGGTATCAAAGGATAGAGCAGTTCTGCTCTGTTGTCTGTTGGATGGAAGGCCTATTAACGTAGGCCGAATTATTCATTCTGAAATCTTGGCTTGTGCCAAGGCTGACAGTGGTTATTTGTGGTTTCCAGGTTTGATAACTCATTTATGCAGGCAAGCCAAAGTGCCAATGGGAGAGGAAGAGGAGAAAATCAAAATGAATGGAGAAATCTCCCCTGCTGCTGCAAAGAGAATATCAAAAAATGCTGAAGAGTTAGCATAAGGCGGTGTTACTGCAACTCCTCAGAAAATTGATGACACAGCACCACCTGCTGAAGGTGCTGAATCATGGGAGAGGATTGATAAGAGGCTGGATAAAATAGAGAAAGACCAACTGGAGACAAGGAATCTTGTGATGAACAAGTTAAAAGAAATGGACAAATTCATTTTAGGCCAGTTGGGGTTCCTCAACTATGCACCTCTAGCCTCAGATGCAGCAATGCCGATGCAGCAAGGGAGTGATGATGAAGAAGAAAAAGAAGAAGAAGGGGAAGAGGAGGTTGAGCAAAAAGACGAAAATATAGAAGACAACCCCTCGGACCAAGAAGAGCAAGATGAAGACTAGATCATAACTTGTAATAGTTTTGATTTAGAAGAAAAATATCTAGGTTGTATTGCTATTTTATTTTTCTTTTTTGCTACATATGTAATCCCCTGCATCACTTAGAAAATTAATGAAAAAGAGGAACATGTTTGCTAATTAGATAGTTAGATTCGGTAAATTTAATTTCTGTTTTGTATGAATAAAAAAGTTAGGTATATGTTACAGCATGAAATTAAGAAAAAGAGTTGGAGGAATAGCCTCGATAAGGGTAACAAGAAGTTAGAAACTAATGTTGCATCAATAAGGTGAAACAGATTGCATCATTAGCTATGATGTTATGATCCCTTTTCCTGTAGCAGGATGGCAGTAGTTACGAATGAGTGAGAGTAAGTGTTTTTCAACTTGAACTTGCAAAGCAATGGAGGCGTGAATTGGAGGCTGTCATGATCAAAGAAGAAAGCAACTGGAGTGATTGAACATGCAAGCACAAAGAATGAACTTGAAAGCAAAAGAAGCCGAAAGAGTTGATTGCGGATGAGGACTTAGGATTCAAGGTTTGATGGATTTGAATCTTACCATATGAGTAAGTCTTGAAGGCTATAAGGGTGAAAGAAGCCGAGCTAAAGCAAGTGCAAAAGCACAAGTGAAAAGAAAGCCCCTCACAAAAAGAAAAATCAAGTCAAAAAGACAAAAATAAAATAAGTGCCAATGCATATGAGCAAACTCACAAAAAATAAAAGAGGGAGCCCAAGTTAAAAGAAAAGCAAGCAAGGTGGACACTCGTTCCTTCAATTCTCTACACATAGGTTTTGATTCAAGTTTGGCAAAGTATGGATACATCAACTAAGTCTTATGATTCTTAGTTTGATGCTCTCAAGTGGATTAAGCCAACAAGGAAGTTCTTTACACACACACTCAATACTTTAGAAGCAGAAAGCTAAGAGAAGTAAAGCTAACAAGGGTCCCAAAGTTGAAGTGTAAGATAAGGTTGAAAGATAACTCTCACGTGTACATTGCTGTTGGAATGCTACATCAGAACTGCTCATCTCAGTAATAGTCATTGCTGCAATTATGCCGCCAAATTTATGCAGACCAATCAATCAATTTCTTCTTTGTTACTCGGGGACGAGCAACGTTTTGAGTTTGGAGTGTGATAACTCTCCCATATGAGAGTTAATTTTTTATTTTTATGATGAATTTGTTGCATAAATTCCATATAAGTTAGCCATTTTGCATGATATTTGAGCTAATTATTGTATATTTATGATTAAGTGCTTTGAGATGACTAAGTATGGAAAATAAGACAATATACCTTGATTTTGCGTAAGAAAAGATGACTTGTTGAATGTTTGTCTTCGCAGGGAAAATTGACGTAGGAATGCTGTAGCAGAGAAGCTGACGAAGTAATGATATAGCAAGCGCTACAACATGACAGCGTGGACAAAGGGATAACCAAACTTTTGAATTTCAAAAGTTAGTTATTCTTCAACAATACACCAGCAAGCAAAGGAATTTTCTGGAGATTTAGTTCAGAAATCACAAGGGTCAAAAGACAAATTCAAAGATTGAATCTTATCCAATTCCCAAAGAACAAGGACAACAACCTTGATTCGGTCAACAACATTGGCACAAGAAAACCAAGAAGATAAAGATCTTATCCAATTAAGTGCCAAAAAATCCGAAAATCCCAAGGATCAAGGACGATTTCAAGGATTGAGTCTTATCCCAAAATCCCAAAGAATAACGACAACAAAACTCTTGTTCGGTCAACAACAATATTGGCACAAGATAATCAAGAAGATTAAGATCTTATCCAATCAAGTGCAAACAACCCAAGAATTTAGGGATAAGATAAGGCTGCAGCAACCAGATTCAACAATCTTCACTCTTAACTCCTAAAGCCCAAAAGCCCAACCATTTTTCCTATTTAAGAAGAGCTCCTTCACGAGAGAAACACAGTTCGAAACACAGTTAGAGAGGTTCAAGGTTCAGAAGGTCAGAAACAAGGAGGAGAGTTTTAGAGGGAGAGTTTTAGAGGGAGATAGTGAGGTTCTTGGAAGAGGAAGAGCAGCGCTGGAGCAGTGCTGGAGCAAGGCAGTGACGACGTCTTCCTACAGCAATTGTTTTCAACTTCTTTTCTGTTTTCCAATGAATTCTTTCTTTCTTTTCTCTGTTTTATTTAATTCCATTATGAGCTAAATCGCTCCATAGGTTAGGTGATAAAGTACCTATGCTGTAACATTGAGATGTATGCCTAAACTTTGTTTATGTTAATGTTTAATTAGTTATTCAACGAGTTTGCTTAATCTTATTCATGTGTGCATGTCGAGAGATACATATGTGATATTGAGGAGGTTGGGGCCGAAAGGTTTTCGAATCCAGACCCTTGTTGAATTGTGTGGATTAATCGAGTTAAATTAACTTAATTAAGTTGTGGATAGAGAGATCATTCACACTACATAACCTTGAACTTGAACTTGAACAAATCAGTGATTAGTTTGACCATAAAGATGTGGGAATTAGTTATTGGGTATATATGTTAAGTTGGCCAAAAGCCCCAACATACCTTAGTGTTCAGTTACTAGTTAAACATCGATATAACATTGTTAAAGCATCAGATCAGTATTGCTGTATCAGGGAAATTGATCCTGACCTATATCTCATCCATCATCTTAGTACCTATTATTTTAGTTTTTTTGTTTTCTTATTATTAGTTGTCTTTTATTTTACAAAACCAACAATCATAAACAATCACTTTACTCACTTTCTTCACCTAAATAATCATTACTTGACACTTATCTCTGTGGGAACGATACTTGGACTCACACATCCCTTTATTACTTGTGACACGTGCACTTGCGTATTTGTGTGGAAGATTTAAATTGATTACAAATTGCACAACAATGCACTTGTCAGGAGATGTAATCCTATAAAATACATAATGATCAACTTTACTGCGGATTAAGCCAAACGCCTGAACGGCAGAACTGAAGCGACTGAACCATGCTCGAGGAGACTGCTTGAGACCATATAAAGATTTTCGAAGACGACACACTTTTCCAGACTCC